ACAACAAGAGATGAAGTGGTGCCTTGCCTCAGTACCAGGGAAGTGAAATCAAGAAAAATTGCCAGTCTCCATTATTGAGCAATGAAAGAAAAACTCCTTTATTTTATTGACATTTAATATGTACAGAAATTTTCTCGTAGTAGCAGTAAAATGTTTGATGGAAAGTTTTACAGTTAAGAAAAACACTTGTATTAATCAACTGATATTAATTAGTTCAGATCAGCAAGTTTAAAGAAGACTAAAATAACCCCATGATCTTCTGATTTCAAGGCTAGCCTTCAGTAAAGAATGATAGCACTACTATATCAGCAAAAAGTAATTTTAAGTTTGTACTGCCTAATGCTGTTAATAGCTTATATTTACATAAGTTTTAAGTGAAAGACCTTTTCACATCACGTAGGAGTGGTTGTGTTTTATGCTCACGTTATGCAGCTGTAGGGCAATACGGAATCTGGAACCTCTGAAAGCCCTTTCAACCACAKCAGGTTTACCAAAACTCTTCATACTTACTATACAACTATTTTGTGTGACAACTATCAAGTAAACATAAGCCAAATCAAACATATTAAAAATATGAAATAAAGTTTTAATTGTAGCCACTGAGAGTTTCTAAACAAGTATTTACTCTTTGATAAAACATAGTTTTCTGTATTTTATCTAATAGAATTACACTCTCTGATTTCTGAGAGCTGTTGATTCACAARCTTAAACTTTGATATTAAAAAAAGATCTTCTGCCCAGAACAGGGAAGGTTATTGACACATATCTCACTGTCTCATTCTGCTGGCTTAGAAATCAAATTTTCATTTTAAAATTGAGGGTATTGATGACTAGATGGGTGCCATTAACCTGAGCTGAAGACAGTATGTTCAACYTCACTTCTCTACAGGAGCCACAACTCTTCTGCTCACTCCAGACATGGTAGCTGTCAGCAAGGCAAAAGCAGGGCCTGGATGTTTTCCTTGCACTTCCTGACTTTTTGGACACACAATATTAGGGAAAAAAAACAAAACCCAAACCCATTTCCACAACTGTTTTGCCAATTGACAGGGGGCAGTGGAAAGAACCAAACATGGGAAAAAATGGTCGTGTTTACTATTAATATCAAATAATACAGAAATTAAATCATACATCTAATGAAACAATAAGCTTACCATACACTGGGTTTTAACAACAGACAAAATGAGCAAGGTAATGCACTTAACCATTACTGCATGAGAAAGAGATATACCAGAAATTGCCTAAATACGTTACCACCATCCAGACCCATGATCGCTGGGGAGCCCCTGTTGCAGCGGGGATTTGGAGCCTTCCCGGCAACTGGGAGGTGTTACGCTGTGTGTGCACCCGTAAGTGAGGTCTCCAACGTCACAACACAMGAGTCCAGCTTTTACAAAACCAAATCAGCAAAACTTGCATTTGCTTTGTGAGTAGAAACATCTGGTGTGTCCTGCTTTCCTTATCATGCGGGATTGGGACCTGGCCAGGGCCTCGGCTTTGGATGGGAGGTTCCCTTCAAGGTCAAAAACGCCTGCACGAGAGCCTACAAGAGTTACAATTATATRAGCTTACGTGCAAGTTGGCRTAAGCAGTCTACAGGCGAGTTCTGKGTGTGTCTGAAGAGGCAGAGCCATACTCAGTTGTAAGTCAACCCTGACCTGGGCCTGTTGTTCAGGCTCCAGCAGTTCAACAACATAACATGTTTTAAACCCCTTCCCCAAGCACACTCCTTCTCATCATATCATATCATAGCAGTAYGTAATCATCAGTATGAAGCCAAAGCATTGCTTAATTTTGATTGCCCCTAATATATGCAGTTACACACACTGAATGGTATAATTAACTAGGGAATAAACCTTAAATATTATATAATGCTATTTAGGCATCAATCTCAACAGCCTTCCCCTTTAGTAACTCTTCACAGTCATCATTAYTTCCCTTATACAATTTAATTCTTTTAAATTTGCATTACCTACTTGTCTTCTCACTTAAAATTTTCAGAGTACTGTAAATTCCTAACACAAAACCTTGGTTAGTCTTCACAGCAAAAATATTTGTGTACACTTCTACCTAAAGAGAGGCAGTTTGATCTATTTTTTTTTYCYWA